AAAAGAGAACTTTCAAGGAGGAAAAAGAGGTACAAAATGGCCAAGCCTGCAGCCAGAGAGGACCTGGCCCCTGCGGGTGACTGTCAGCTGCAGAAAAGTGAACCAGACCCCCAGGAAGGCCCTGCACTGGCGGACCTGATTTGCTGGGGGTTAGTCCTTGACTGGAAGAGTCATGGACCACTGGGAGTGGTCCAGCCCCACAGGAGGGCACTGGACTGGTGAGCCTGGCTTGCCAAGGCTGGGATCAGACAGAATACCCAGTCTCCATGTATGACCTTGGTCAAAGAGGGCCTGGCCTCTGTATGTGACCTTAACCAGCTGGGAGAATCTAGGCCCACAGGAGGGCACCAGAGGGGCGAGCCTGGCTTGGCAAGGTTAGCCTGTGACTGGAAAAGACACAGACCACCAGGAGTGGCCCAGCCCCACAGGAGGGCACTGGACAGTGGAGTTTGGCCTGCAAGGTTAATCCATGACCAGAAGAGATACAGATTACCAGAAGTTTGGCCTAAAATGGGAAGAGAGAAAGGAAGTTTTAGAAGGTGCCAAGAGACTGTAATAGGAATGTTTGAAAGTGCAAAGAGATTATATAGGAATACCCAAGGTTAAAAAAGGCACAGAGATACTATGTACCAATGCTTTAAAAAGGCACAGAAATAGAGGAAGAAGAGAAGAGGAATCAGAGTAGGAATGGGAAGAGAAAAGAAGTTCTAGACAAAGAACTCGCGATTAAGTGGATCAGTTTTAGGCAGGGTCAGGGAATGTCCCCTTTCCCTTCAGGATTTCCAGGATCTCCTGGGAATAAGGATCCTTTTGGTTGGGTCTTATGGGGTATATTTCAGCCCCCCAAGGGGGGGGATTTCTCCCCATCTGAGTCACAGCACCATATGAGAGGTTAAGAACCCAAACATAAAAGATTATTCCAAGGTGCAAAACAAAAGGAAAGCAGAGTCCTGATTCTGTGTTGGTCAGTGTGGTCTTATTCCACCTTGGTGCACGGGGGTGAAATCCCTGACCAGGAAGGAATTCCACAGGTGGGCAACGGTGGGTGGGGAGGGTCAGGGAGGCAGGGATTAGCACATTCATTATTTCCTGGGTTCGCTTGATCCTTTCTGAGTGGGTCAGTACATTTGATTCTATCACCTGCCTCAGCCTCCCAGAGTGCTATGATTATAGGTGTGAGCCACTGAGCCGGGCCTTCTAATATTCTTATTTAACCACCTTAAGATCTTTAAACCATTTGGAGAGCCCACCATCTCAACAAAATCGTCTTTTCAAATTGTACTTAAAATCTAAAACCTTGCAGTTGTGTTGAGTTTATAGGCTCCTTTGTGGGTGGCCTTAGGATTCATTCATATAAAAAGACAGTGCCATCTACGGAGCTGCTCTTCAGGAGGTGTGAGTTCTTAGTCACAGAGGCAGTGATGGTATCTTTCTGACTAGTGACAGTTTGAGACAATTTTGGAGTGAAGTTTTTTTAGCTATAGGAAATTCTGTAGTCCTACAAACTGCTCTAAGCTGGATATTATGTATAAAATGATGGAGTTTATAGTCCAATAGGCAGATTAGACATGCAAACATAGTTTGTAGTAACTCAGATAATAAATATTATGGCTTCCAAGATAGCATGTTGGATATGACTTAGGAAGGCAGGAAGCCTTCTGTTTTTTTTTTTTTTTTGGAGACAGAGTCTCACTATGTTGCCTTCTGTAGAGTGCTGGGGTATCAGAGCTCACAACAACCTCAAACTCCTTGGGCTTAGGCAATTCTCTTACCTTAGCCTCCCAGGTACCTGAGACTACAGGCACCCGCCACAACACCGAGCTATTTTGTTGTTGTTGTTGTCATTGTTGTTTAGCAGACCCAGGCTGGGTTCAAACCTACCAGCACTGGTGTATGAGGCCGGCACCTTGAACACTGAGTGAGCGATGGGCTCCAAGCCACTAGGTATTCTTAAAGAAATGATAAGTGGGCGGTGCCTGTGGCTCAAAAGGGTAGGACACCAGCCCAATATGCTGGAGGTGGCGAGTTCAAACCCCACCCCAGCCCCCAAAAGAAGGAACGATGAGTTAGCTGGTAGAAGGTGGCATTTTAGAGAGAGCAGAAACCAAGGTTCATCAGTAATCATGAAAATCTGAGAGGCACATGTGTCTGTTCTTCAAATACAGAGTCTAGAGCAAGAGTGTCCAACCTGTGGCCCATGGGCCACGTTTGGCCCAGGATGGCTGTGAATGCAGCTCAACACAAAACTTATTTAAAACATCACAAGTTAGTTTGTGATTATTTTGGTGGTGATCAATTGCATAGTTCTTGGGCAGGAACTTTGTGAATGACAACATTATGTTGCAGTGTCATGTAAAATACACACATGCTGTCACTATTTGTACCTGTGTGGCTTCAGTTTATGTGGTATGTGGCTTCCTGTGTATTATCTACCAAGTGCAGAGACTCATTCAGACACGATCAGATGTTACATATGTCCATCATAACTTGGTGAGGCGATTCTGGGAAGATGGCCACCTGGTAGCAACCCTGGTCAGAGGCTCCTGAGCAAAGGAAGAAAAACTGGTTGGAATCAGAATCTATGAAGCCAAAGACGGGGAGCTGAGCCCAGAAAGAAGTTCGGCAAGCTATAAATCCAAGGAAGATCATTTAAGAACATAAAATACAGGTACAAAGCGGGTCCCAGGACGGCTTACTAGACCTGCCCCCCTTCCGCGGGTGGCGGCGGCTGCAGAGAAGCCCCCTGTGCCAGGCAGCCACAGAAGTACTTGCTAGAGCTTAGCGCACCCCTGCTGGTGGCGGCGGATGAGTCCCCCACTCCGGGAGGGCCTAGAACTGCTTGCTACAGCTGCGCACCCCACGGGCGGCAGAGAAGCACCCCGTCCCAGGGCTCTGGGCAGATCCAGAACTGATTGCTAGAGTTGCAAGCTTCCCGCAGGCGGTGGGTCGTCGGAGTGGAGTTCCCTTGCTCCGGGCAGCCACAGAAGTACTTGCTAGAGCTTAGCGCACCCCTGCCGGTGGCGGTGGACGAGTGCCCCACTCCGGGAGGGCCTAGAACTGCTTGCTACAGCTGCGCACCCCCGGGCGGCAGAGAAGAACCCCGCCCCAGGGCTCTGGGCAGGTCCAGAACTGACTGCTAGAGCTGCAAGCTTCCTGCGGGCAGCAGGTGGCCGGAATGGAGTTCCCCTGCTCTGGGCAGCCACAGAAGTACTTGCTAGAGCCCAGTGCACTCCTGCCGGTGGCGGCAGACAAGTCCCCCACTCTGGGAGGGCCCAGAACTGCTTGCTAGAGCCATGTGCTCCACGGGTGTCCTGTGGGCAGTGGCGGAGGAGTCCTCTGTTCCAGGCAGACCCCAAACAGCCTTCTAGAGACACGCACACCCCACGGGGGCCAGCAGAGGAGTTCCTTGCTCCAGGCACCTGTGCTGGGTGGGCCCAGAATTGCTTGCTAGAGCCACGCGCACCCTGCAGGAGGCGGTGGAGGAGTCTAGCGCTCTGGGCAAGAACTGTCTATTAGAGCCACGTGTGTCCCA